CTCCCTCCTCTCCTTCCTCTCCAGTCCTAAGAGCAGTCAGGGTTTCCTGCCCTGTGGGAAGTTCAAGTTCCTCCCCTCTCCCTCCAGGTCTAGGAAGGTGAGCATCCAAACAGACTAGGATCCCAGAAAGCTAGTACATGCAGACAAAACAAGACCCAGTGCCATTGACAATGGCTTCTCAGTCAGCCCCCATGTCAGTCACATTTAGAGACTCCAGTTTGATCACAATCTTAATGAGAAGTTCATTGTATTCCCTGTGTTTCCTGTCTTTCTCTTCCTATAAAACATGCTTCTCGGGAGGATTATTGATTCTCTTTAATCCAGTCTCAAACTAACTTATCTTTTTGACATATTTCTAGGTAAGAGTGGCTGAACTTAAGCACACCTTTGGATTCCATCGGCTTTATGTAAAAAGTTCACAAAAGAACTTGACCTTCCTGTATACTTGTGAATGGTGCGATCCTCCTTGAAGTGAATTGCTTCCTATTCAAAGTCTGTAATACCAGGAAATCATTAAAAAAATCAAAAGATAAAGTTGTCTAGCAGCCGAAGGAAAATACAAGTTCTGTAATCTTTACTTTATGAACAGAAACTGTGCTCCATGTGACAAAGAATACAGAGGGGCTGCCACTTCATAAGACAACTTCCACTTCGACATGTCTGAACTCTCAGCACACTTGGTGAACTTTCGCAACATTCTACCAGACATAATTAACCACTAATGAAATTCTACTGGGGGGAAAAAAATTACCCTGTGGATTCAAAATCACTTCAGGTCTGAGGGAGCAAATTCCGTGAGGATGGTGACCTTCTCATATGAGAGACTGCCACAGCAAAGCTCAGAAACAAATCTGTCCCCGGCAGCTAATAACTCACCTGTTATCAAACCCTCCAGCATCATAATACCTCGGTCCCATCTGTGAGCCTGCAATATGTGACAAGACAGCTGATGGATGGCAGTGGCCGCAGTGGCCAGCCGAATTGGTAATGTACCTTGGGATTTGGGAGCTCCACCCACCCTATGTGTTAGAAGAATTTATGAAGATAACATGACATGCTAATATATTTTTACAGCTTAAACAAGATATTCAATGCCATTTTTGAGCACCACACATAGTTTATCAGTATAACTCCAAAGACCTTTATCCCTTTTTTGTTTCTTTGCTGCTACATATAATATAATTATTGGATGGTTAAAACTGACTGATGAGGGGAAGCATGTGAGCCCTGGATGCATCCTTCCCTTTGTGTTTCTGTATCTTTCTTCTGATCATTGGTTCATTCATTGCAATGGATTATTTTTGAGGTACTCATCCTAATACCCATCTCAGTCATGGTAAAGGCATGAAAAAAGAAAGTGTAATGGATTAAGAATGGCCTGTGACCAACCGCGTTCTTATATCTCTTTTTAGTTGGGTCAGGCGGTAGGGCGAGTGCTAAGGCAGCGTTGGCTGGACTTCAGGTACCTTTCAGGGAGAACTCAAGCTCACCACCTTTTCAGGATAACGCTCTTGGTTTGTAGGTAGGGCAAATGTCAGCACTGTCCTCGGCCCTAGCTGTGGGGAGAGCTCAGATCAACGGCAGAAAACTTCTCACTCTGACATAGCTTTTAATGCTTATTATGGAAAAGTAGCTCAGGCTTCTCTGTTTAATGATATTTAACATACAAACATGTATTCTAGCATACTAGAAAACTCAACCAAGTCCCTGCAAATGAACAGAGTTAATATCTGCTATGCCTGTGACTGCTGATGGCAATGCAGAACAAGACTGTCACACAGGGAGCTCTTAGTCTCCACCTCACAGTGTGTGCTTTTCCTGAATTACCTTATTTGGTCCTCACATCTCCATCTCCCTAAGATACAGGGACTCTTCTGATGCGTATTTTCTTTTTTTAAAATTGTTCTTAATTGATTTTTATTGAGCTCTACATTTTTCTCTCTGCTCCCCTCCCTGCCTCTCTCCTTCCCCCTTGGAGCTCCAGTGGCGCAGTCGGTTAGTGCACGGTACTTACATGATGCTTATTTTCTATGTGAGGATGCTAGCACCAGCGGAGCTAAAACTTGAATGTGAGTCGACTATCCGGAAAATAAAATAAAATAAAATTCTCGAGAGTGAGTCTTCAGTTGCTGCAAAAGGATGAACTGCGTTATTTGTGAGCATTTGACATTTTTCAACTATCCAGAATGACCAGGAATAAAACTCACCATATCACAAGGCTTTAAAAAAAATAGACAAATAGGGATGAGACACTGAACAATTGAAAACATTTTGATCTACTTACTTAAGCTCTAAGCTTCACTTTTTCATATGTATAAAGCTAATGAGACTATTAAGAAATAAAGAAAAATCACCTATGATGGGAACTGTCTTAACTACACTCCTATTGCTGTGAGAAAGATCATGAAAGAAAGCCACACTGACTTTCATACTCACTTTTCAAACCCTATCTTTCTCATTCATAGATTACATTCTACAACTCTCTTCTTAACACAGAAAGTGTGTCACATAGGAAAAACTTTCTTAGAGATCCTTTTATGACTTTGTAGGTGCTTTGGCATGCCTACACATCTTCCATCACAATGGATGCAAAATGCCACATTCCACATTTCTCATCTACTTAGGATCCTTCCCTTATGAATCAGCTCTTATCGCCCTTCTTTAAGACTCTGCCTCTGTCTTGGATCTTACCCTCTACCTATACATTCAGGCTTTTCTCATATGAAGAAGAAAATCCCAGTATCACCCTTGTGTGTCTCTTGAGAAGTTGTGTTAGCCCTCCCTGGTCTTCACATCCTTGTTTCTATAGAACACACCTTGGGTCCCAGTTTATCTTTCCCACACTATATCTAAACACTATGATTTGATTCTCTTTCCACTGATCTACAACTGCTCATGCTGAGACCAAATTGCTGTTCCCAATTTCACTAACCAACAGGTGATTACCCAACGTTGTCTTTATTGCTGTTTTATGAAATTTCACATGCTTACAACTTTTTCTAATTTTTTTCTTTGTTTTTCCTTCAAATCTAAACAAATCTTTTGGGTGAAAAGGGTAATCACTTTCTATTTCTTGCCCTCGTTAAATACTTGAGGTCCCCAAAGTCTTCACCCATCCTTGGGCCTTAGAGTCAACAAAACTACTCTGGTCTGCCATCTTGGAGCCCATTTGTCTTCCTGCGCAACCATATTTATTGAATCAATGGTTCTAGTCCTGGTATCTCTGTAGATTAAATGATCACAAATAGTCCTGACTAGAGATCAAATCCATGTGGGGTCTCAAAGGCCTCTCAAATTCAGTACTTAAGCTCATGAGATACTGTGTAGCTGTCTAACAAGTTGTTTCAAAACCAGAGTCCTTTAGAGCTATTCTATAATCTTAAAAATAGAATGAACTTTTAAGAACTTAATATAACTTGTAGTGGCGAATTATTTATCTAAAGTTAAATTCTGAATCTTTTTAACCTATATATTTCCTCACAGAAAAATGTCTAAAAGTTAAATGCCCCAGACATTAGTAATGGATGTTTTTCTCATTCTACCACTTTCACATTATGCTTTTTATATCAATGTAATTTTATAATGAATTTACATGGTTTATAAAACAACTTTCAAGGCTAATCACATCTCCTCTTTCTGTATATTCTATCATTACACTGCAAGGAAAGACACGAGTTTTCTACTCATTCTTCAGTTAGAATTTCGAAGGCAATCCCTGATTTGTCCTTGTCCTCAATCCATCTTAGAGTCTTCTCTTCTGCTGTAATAAAAGCACTCTGGCTAAAGCGCCTTCGGAGGGACAGAGTTGTAGTTTATTGTCCAACATGGAAGAGAAAGCACAGTAAGAGGAGCTTGAAGCAGCTGGTGATACTGTATCTTTGGTGAATAAGCAGAGAGAAACACAAGAACGCAAGCATGGTATTGCTCAGTTTGTTTTCTTCACTCATATGCAACCGAAGGGTAGTCAGCTCTTCCAACTGTAATTCATGTAATCAAGAAAAAAAGTCCCATACCCAGAGGCCCATCTTCCAGGTGATTCTATCACACAATCCTCTTGAGTGTATCTTAAATCCACCCACTTCGGATCAGCATGAAAGCACATTCTAAGAACAACTTTTGGGCTTTTGAAGAAACAGAGATCACAAGATATACGTCTTGTTTACTTGGAGTATTTTCTTTAAGCACTCAGAATTCTTCGCGTACAACTCCATTCCTTGACTGTGTTCCAACGAAAGAAACCCTTGCACATGACTGGTAGAAATGTAGATTAGTGAAAACTTGAAAACAATGAGAATGCTTTCCTCAAAACGTTCAAAGTAGTACTGTAACTTGAGCCAACAATCCTATTTCTAGGTGTATTCCAGAGGAAATAAAACTGGCATTTCACAGAGACATCTGTTCTCCCAAGCTCTCCACAAAACAAAACACAGAGCCAACCTCATTTGTCCAACAGTGAATGAACAAATGAAAAAGCTGTTGTTAAAATGCACAGTATAAGAGCCCATTATCATAAAAATGTAGTCGGCTTACCATTGTATTGAATCTGGAAGACATGTTAAGTAAAATAAGCCATGCACAGAAAGCCAAACCCTGAATGGTCTCCCTTCATCTGAAGAATCTTAAAAAGTGAATCTCACGAACACAGCAGGCTGGTGAGCAAAGGCTGTGTTGGTATGGAAGCTGGAAGGTGGAGAAACACTGACCAGAGATGACATGAATACGGTTAGACAGGAGTAAACTTTAAGAGGGCTACTGTACATCAAAGTCAACGTAGTTAACCATGGCACATTGTACTCTCAAAAATTACAAAGAGGACTGGCAAGATGGATGAGTGGGTAAAACCACTTGCCACCAAACCTAATGACTTGAGCTGGGTCCATGGAACCCACCTGGTGGGAGAAGAAAACCACCTCCAGAAAGTTGTCCTATGACCTCCACACATGCGCAATGGCACACAGATACATATATTTACACACTAAAAATAAATAAAATGTAATAAAAATTTTAATTGCAAAGATATCAAATACTATATGGATTTAATACAAAAATGGTAATGATATAATGTCATGTGTTCGTTAATTAGCTACATGCAGATACCTGGATATGTGTGTGTGTTTAAAATGCCATGTTGTATGCAATTTGAAATGTCACTACCTCTCATTTTTATTAAAAATAAATAAATGCAAACTACTTGGCTTGCTCTAAGATATTACATATAATCTGGCCTATGTACTTCCAACTTAGTGACATTGAACCGGAGTCAGAATAAGGGTCAAGCCTAAGTTCTCCACTGGCTCCCTGTGACTTAGACACATTACTGAACCTTCTAAGACCATTGCTTTATTCATTGTAGAATCTCTGTGCCACAGACAACTACATCTAAGTAGATATGCTTTTAGGCCTCAGTAAACTCTGTTTTACACACAGTTATCTTGATTATTTTGTGTAACTCCTCCTTTAGCAGGGATGGAACCTTGATCATCCTTCTGTCCATAATGCCTCTGCATGGCAAGTTGAAGGGCTTCAAAAATTGTTTCATGAAGTCAGGAAGTGGTGGCACACACCTTTAATCCCAACACTCAAAAGGTAGAGGCAGGCAAATCTCTGAGTTCAAGGACAGCCTGGTCTACAAAGTGAGTTCCAAGGCAGCCAGGACTGCACAGTAAACCTTCTCTCAAAAATCCAAAAGAAGGAAAATCTGCTTCATGAATGAGACTCTACATAGACATTCATTTTAGACTCTTAGTCTGCATTTATCAACTATGTGGGCCTTCCAAATTTATTGTGCCACTCATCCCAGCTTTGTAGTCTGAACCCAAACGCAAGCAATGTGTTCTATCTGCATGAGGTCAGGGTTTAAAGGAAGTTCTTCCAGTTAGATCTGTCCGGTCACTGGCTCCTGAATGTCACTGAGTCACCCCAGATGAACTGAAGAATATTTATGTGGATACTTGATAGTCTAGCAGACACCTTATCCTCTTAGGCTGCCAACTTTAATATTGGTTTGAGGGGGTAGGGGGAGTTCCTGACATTAAATTTAAAAAGCCAGGGTCTACATCCAGTCAAGATACATCATTTTGCGTCTTGAGACCAGCATACTGAAGTTAAAATCCACCAGCAAATGCTAAGATGCTTCAAAGCACAAGCAACTTACAAACTCGGGGCAGTCATTAAAGTAGCGGAAATACACTGTTTGGGCTAAAGAAATCAAACATTGTCTCTGTAAAGTTTATGAGTGCTCCAAAGGTCCGGCTTTCTCATCCTCCTCTAAATAAATAAAGTCTTAAATTCCACAGATCAGAGTAAATTTAAAAAAAAAAAAACAAATTTTGTAAAGTTTTAAAATGAGCACACATACCTACCTGATTAGTCGTGACACATGGTTAATATCAATGATAGCCCCAAGCAGCACAATTAAAAGCTCGCCATCCTAGTCATGTCCATTTGATATGTTTAAGGTGAAATAATGCTTTATGAAATAAACATTGCTTTAAATAATGATAAAAGCATCTCACCTAGGAATCCTTCCAACTTTTTAGTAGTATGCATCCAATTGAACCAACACTAAATTATTAGTCTTGTTAACAACAGGAGTCCTATGTCTGTGAATATAACTTACAGAATTATTAAAATCATAATCATCAGAAATTATGATTTTTTTCCCTCTGTGTACCTTGAAATATACTCACCAAGGCTACATAAAAGAACCTGTAGTACTGAGCCCTCAGCAGGACATTCATCAGACAACTCGTTTTATAAATCCTCCCTTTTTGACCATAAACAACTGAACAGATCTTGTTATGGTCAACTTAAAAAACTATTCTAACAGCGAATAAACTTTGATTCATTTCTCTTTAATTTGGAAATAATGCATGTGTGCACAGAGTCTGTAACAGAGCTGAGCGCTCACCAAGAAAGCGAGACGAGATGAAGTGTGAGACGGAGCGAGTGCAGCAGGCTAAAAGGTGGTGATGGTTGACGACGTGCGGCTGAGAATCCCAAGCAATGATGAAGTGAGGTGGGCAGGAATCCCAGCATGGTGGACATCCATCCACAGTGCGAAATCCTTCATCCGCGGGTTTATTCAAATGAACTGGAAAAGTAAAAACCCGCTGGACTGAATTTTGATCTATA